GACTATCCTCCCCAGCAGTACTTCATTGATTATTGTGGATGTTCCTTATTTTGTTTTCCTTTTGTTAGCTTTCTTCATTAAATTGTATTGCCTCAGCCTTGCACTTCTACCAGCTGAAGCAAGAATGCTATTGTCCAACAAAATCACTGTAATTTCCTGGTATGTTAGATATGACTTTCAGATTTCAATCTTATTTTGAGGGGTTCCTGTCTTCCTATAGAATATTAAATTATAGGTCACATTACGTGTGTAGTAGAGTGTTGCCTTCACCTGCACTTCATCAAGAACTTTGGAACCTGAAGGGCAATGTTTAACAGAATTGCAGCTGGTAAGTATGAAGCTGACGGTGCACACACACACATGCTCAGTCTTACCTTTATCTTCTTGCACTTTGCCTTTCACTTTTACCTTATTTTGTGCTGGGGGGAGTTCAAGAAAAATTTCTTCTGAGAAAGAAGAGTGAAGTATTGGAATAGGCTGCTCAGGTTGATGGTGGAGTCACCATCTCTGGAGGCATTCAAGAAAAGGGTAAATGTGGCACTGAGGGACATGGTTTAATTGGCTGATGGTGATGGGTTGATGGTTGGACTTAGATGATCTTAGAAGTCTTTTCCAACCTTAATGAATCTATGATTCTATAATACAAGAAAACGTGTACTGTACTGTAACCAGTGGGATGTTATTGTGCCTAGAATTATCTGATTCTTTTTTGTGTGAATCATGACTAACTGAGGAACTTGGAAACCTTTTTTCATTGACTAGACTCACCTTGTTTTTACTGACTTAATTACCAGTTGCTCAATATCTCATTAGCAAAACTGGAATGAAAGTCCTCTCTGTAACAGCTGACAAAAACAGGTATAGCCAAGAAAATGTGTGCACTGGGATCTGTTCCAACTGTTTGATGTTTGGCTATGAGGATAATTTGACTTTCAACAGGTTGTACCTCATGCTGTGTTTTACCCTGGGACCCTGTAATTTTAACTTTGCTCAGCTGCAGAGCAATACTCAGGTGTCTGGGCAGGGACATTGTTCAGCCCCAGCCTGGACTCTTCGGGACAATGCCGTGTTCTCACTCAGAGCATCACTTGGAGCAAGCAGCTTTCTCAGGAGTATAGTCTTTACATGTCTTCTTTCTCCTGTGTCTCTTTGTGTGACAGAACTGTGTCCATAACAAGTATCTCAAAATCCAGAATGAGAAAATAAGTCATTTTTAGTATGTTGTCAGCAACACAGTGAAGATGCATCATTCATGGCAGTTGCCATGTAAATGCATTAGTTTACTGAAGGCTATGCAGGAGTTAACACAAGTTAAATATATGCTGTGAATAAAGCCTGTGATTTACCTGTAAGAGAGAAGACTGGGAAGGAGGGAAAAAGCTGAGTGCTGGTGCTTTATCTCCCCATGGGTTGAGAATGCAGTGTGAAGGCGATGCACCACTACTTTCTTGCAATTTTTTTTTTTTTTTTTTTAAACAAAGCTCTACAGCACTTCTTTTCATCTGAAGCTACCACTTATTTATTCCTGTCACTAAAACATCTTTCCCGTTTAATTTATTTAGAATTGCAAGTGACATCTTTTCTTTGCGACAGCATTTCTTTAATGTTTTTCATTGAGGTTTTGCTAAAGTTGGTACTAGCACCTCAAAAACACCTGAAAAGAATGATAATCAAACTCTGCAGTCATTCAACTTAAATTATTCTAGTAAGAATGTTTTATATATTTATGTTCAAAGTAGCTAACACTTTTATTTCATTTTAATAAAATTTAATAAACTTTAAAATAAATTTTAAAATTTAATAAATTTTAATTATTTTAATTTTATTTTAAGTGTCTGACATTCACTTGGTCGAGAAAGTTAAGGTTTGCCTACACCAGGGACATCCAAAATTGCATCAGCTGCAGACAGCTATCACTTGTCCCACAGAAGAAGAATTAATAGGAACCTAGGAGCTGGGCAATACTCCATTCTTCAGCAAAGTCACTGACCTGTTGTGACAAGAAAAGAACAAAGCAGAGGCAGATGAGCTGCCTGAGTGAATACAGCAAAACTTATTTACTGAGATACACTCATTGCATAGTCATGAAAAGAACAAAGATATTGCAGTCATTTTTCTGCAAAGCAAATGTTCCAGCATAAATGTTTCTCCAGAAAAGCAGTGAGCACAATCACTGCTGCACAAAATTCACAGCTCCAGTTCGTAAAGAAAAATGGGAGCTACAGGGAATATGCTGAATCTCAAAACAGTTCATTTCTGGTGGGCACTGATGGTTTTGCTTCTTTCTTTGCATGGTACATATATCCCATGAGATTGTTAATGACCCACACACTGCCTTGCACAGCTCCTCTGGGGCTTCCAAGGAACACAATGAACACTTTATGTTTGTAAACATCTAGACTCCTGAGGCGTTGAGATTTTACAGCAGTCCAGGACTTAGAATAGATTTAATCATTTACCCTGCGTTGTTATTTCTGATATGTGACAGACACACAACTGGTCCCTGCAAGCCTGCCAAAACATTCACCACACATCTTACCTTGCCTTATTTTTCGTAAGCCTTGGTCTTTGTTCTTCTAATGATGTTTGACACAAGGAAGAGAAGCTGTGGAGCTATCCTGATTCCAGCAGACTGCCAGCTCCCAGGGTCCCCTGTCTGAAAATTTTATTGGAGAGCAACTTCATCAATGCCAGTCTATCTCTCTTGTTGGCCAGTGCCATGAGATTTGATTGCCATTTCTCCTTCCCTTCTCTGTGATTCAATAGGATGCTCAGGGTCACCCAAGAGATATTTTTTAATGGGCTAGTTTTCAAGTATGTGGAAAGAGTGCTGAAATATAAGCTCCCTGGTAAGTGTCCTGAGAAGAAAGGGAAGGATGCACTCAGAGCAGGATGCACTTGGAGAAGTGGAGAAACCACCTTTCCAGACACCACTACTTGGACTGTGCTGGATTCATCAGTACTTACCCTTTCTAAATCATTAAGGAGTCTTGGCCTCACTATGCCCAGCCATAGGACAATTATACATAATCACAGCATTCCAATGTATACATAATCAGAGCCTGCAGAAGTAGAAAGCTCTCTGGATATAAACAGGGCTCTGTCAGAAGATGGATATCATATTTTGCTCCCATTTAAGAATTCATTTTTTATAAAATCAGTACTAAGGTGTAAGCAAAATCCAGTGATTTGGCAAGCTTGTTCATTTGGGTGACTGCCAAGGCGAAATTTTATTGCAGTGTGTTTGTTCAGGTGAATAAAAGATGAGTGGTGCTCCTTTTAAGTCTGTTAAATACCCATTTACATGTAATTGTTGTTGCTGCTTTGTTTTGCAGAAAATTTCTCCTGCATTCAGTTCAAACTGAATCCTTCATTGCTAAGTAATGTTAATGCATGGCAATACAGGCTATAAAGGGATGTGAATACACTTGAAACACCTTTTTATTTTCCTTGAGAGAAATGCATAGAATAAAGAAAAAGCTAGTCTTGTACTTTTTCATTGTGGATAACTGAAGAGGTTCACAACACCTCTAGTAGGTTCAGTTAAAAAAAAATTCTTTCAATCTTCAGAAAATTTGATAGAATTTGTCCGTAAGAGACTGCAACCGATCCTATTTAAATTAATCTTTTTTAAAAGGAAACAAACCAAAAAAGCTGAACAAAATAAAACAGAAACAATTGGATGCTGTGGTATTTCAGGATTTTATGAGTTTTACCCAGTTTTCAAGGATATAGAAGTTAGACAAGAAATGGAATTAAATGCTGAATGTATTTTTACATACCACAAAAATTAAAGAAATATTTTTAGGTTGCACTTCAAATTTAAGCAGAAAACCATGATGCTGAAGAAACTTCAGTGCTTCACCACGTATCATTAAAAAAAAACAACTGTTTTCTTATAGCCAACCTCAAACTCCCCTCATTTGGTTTGAAACCATTTCCTCTTTTCCCATTACAACAAATCTTGCTTAAATGTCTGTCCCTTCCTTTAGATACTGAAAGGTTGCTAGCTGGTCTCCCCAGAGCCTTCTCTTCTTCAGCCTGAACAGCCCCAGCCTCTTTGTTGTTTCATATTGTTTCATGTTGTTTCATGTGCTCTGTCTTGTTTAAGACATTCAGAACTTCAGCCTCTCTCTAGCCTGATAGGATGTGATTAATCTCACCATTCTTAGCAATCTGAAAGTCACGTGTTTGTCTAGTTGGTCATTTTGAACTCTGTAGCTAAGTAAGATATCACATCTGAGAGAGGAAGTCAGGATCACTTGTAACAGGATGGACTAAGTTTTCATTTTCCCACATATCTATGAACATGTGCATACAAGTTGCACAGCCACTAAACCAAAGAAATCACACTTAATGTGATCTACTGTGCTGTGTATTACAACAGGACTAAGTGTAGAAACAAAATAAAGTGTATTTTTTTTGCTTTTGCATGCAGTTGTGCATGGAAGGTCTTATGCCAGTGTTTTATCTGAGTGAACATTTGACACAGTGTTCACTGAATGGGTATCTTAAATGAAAGGAAAAAAAAAATACTCCGCATCATAATTGAAATTTCTATTTATTAATAAGTGGTGCAGTTTTAAAGACAGAACATAAAAAATCAGTTAAGAAGTATTGTTTGCATAATATATTGAAATAAACATATTAAAGTTGTTCAAATATTGGACAGTGCCAGAATATAAATTACACATACAGTTTAAAAATTACAATAAATAATATTATAAAGAGCACTAAAGGCCACTTGTATAAAAGTTGTGTTCCCTTGTCAGCCAGAATCTGAAAAGCATCTTTGTAGCATGGAGAAAAATTCAGTGAGCAAGGCACAAATACTAGTAATAATAAGATGCCATAACTAGAAAACAAAATGCAGTTGGCTATGTAACCTTCAGTCTCAGCATATTCTTAGGATGGAGATAGGATCCTGCTTCCAGGATTTTGCTTCACTTCACTTCAGACAGAAGCTGCTAAAAGCTGAATTGGGAAGAATCAAATCTTACAGCCTAAATAATCATAAGCAATAGTGATATCCAGGGTCTCAATTCCCATGGTGCCCTACTGTGGACACTTGAGAACGGCCCCTTTCTCTTCCTGCACCCCTGAAAACGGTCTTCAAAAGGCAACACCCACATTCAGTTGAGTATCTCAGAAGGTGGTACCATTCCAAATTCATGAGACACTGCAGAAAATTTAGGTTTGCTCTTGGCACCTCAAGTTTAATGGAGGAGGCTGTGGGGTGCAAGGAATTATAATCCAGCTTTTCTTACATGTTTTGTTCTGAGTGGGACAAACCCAGCTCCTGAAATGCCTGGACTCCCAGCAGGGCTGAATTTGCTCCCTAATCTGATTCTGCAAACTGATTGGGTTGTGATGCTTGCCTGAAGGCCATGAGTCAGCAGCCCCATGATGTGTAGATCAGTGATTATTTTGCAGCCTTCCTGGGCCACAATTTGAAGCAGAAAAATATAAAACTGTTTCCACTCTGAACTGTAACAATGCAGCAAAGTTAGAGATAAGAATAGAACAAATATATCCAAAGTCAGTTTAGGAACAGATCCTATCGATCTCTCCATGTGCTTAAATCCTATATATTCTGACAGAGCCAAATCAATTAATCCAGCGCAGGGAAAAGCAAGGACAGCAACCATTACCTGACCAGATTTTTTCTGAAAGTATTTATTTCCTAAATGGAGCATAAAATACTTATACAACTGTGTACTTAGACTAGGCATTCATTTCTGCAATAATTAATGTTCTTGGTTTGAATTTAAACTGAGGAAGATTGATTGATGATAATGCAACAAAGAGAGATACTCAATATAAACATATGTACTTCTTCAAAAACTTAGAGATTTATAGTCACTTTATAGTGACAGAAAAATCAGTGTAAAAAAAAACAGGTAAAAAACTATTTTCCAATCAGTGTTTTTCCAAGGAAATTCATAAATAAAGGCAGATTAGGACCTTATGCTGACCCAGTGCATCAGTGTGAGCAGGTTTCTTAGTGACTTCAAGGAGAGCAGAGGAAAGGCCCACACTTCCTAATTAATAAAAACATTTCAAGCCCTAAAATGGATTCTTGATTACTTGCAGGAAATAAGAGTCAGCAAAGAGCAAATTCCAATAAATAGTCTTTAATCCTAACTACATGGAAAGACAATGGAAAGATATGAGTCTAAGAAAACTAATAGCTGTTAAACTGAAATGCCACATATTAATGAAAGATAATGGTAGCAATGGTAATGGGAGGATGGTTGGACTAGATGACTTGTAGGTCCTTTCCAATCTTGTGATTCTATGATTTTATGATAAAATAAATCTGTTATTTGTTCACATTCATTTTAATACGAAAAGCAGCATAAACTCAGAGGCCACTCTCATCTGAAATTGTGAATGTTTCCTTTTTTTGTGGTAAACCTACCTCAAAATAGAGGCCCTGACCTTTTAGATCACACCACAGATACTTTATTATGCAGTGCCCAGTGTCTATGGCAGACACACAAATGGCGTGCCTTGGTTGACGCACTTTCTGGACTCAAACTGAAGTGCAGTTCTGATGAAGATCTTGTGCACATTCCAAATCTGAGATGATCACCAGGTTTCACCTTGCTGGTGACATCTGGACACATTTACATTGTCAACACGGAGAGCAGAATGAATGCTCACTCTATTTTTAATCCAGATGATGCAGGAGGGCAGAGCTGCTGAGCAGAACACCCTTCTGAAGTGACCAGTGGCTGATCTCAATGGAAATTAATTCACTGGGTAAAAAATAATAAGTTTTTCAGACCCTCCTTGGCTCTCCCCCCATATTTCTTCTAGAGAATTCAGAGATGTCTGCTGCATAGGGCATTGCTGAACTTGCCACTATTACCTTCTAAAAGGCCTTAACTGCAACTTAATATGCCATTAAATATTTCATGATGTAACTACAGACACCTGACCCTGTGTTTTTAATCTACATATGATAAACTGGTGCTTACAACCCACAGAAAATGCTAACTTACAGGTGTTCAGCTGCTATGCACACAGAATGTAGCATAGCCCAAATCCTCCTTTCCTTGGCTGCACTTTAGTATGCAGATAAGATTGATCCAAACATCTGCCACTCCTTGGATTCTCTCTTGGAATTAATATACCTTTACAATGAGTTGATTTATGGATTTTCAGCCAGACTTAACACTGAGAAAAGATTACCTTTGTATGACTTGGCATGAGAGAGATTAGAAACCTGAACTGAAGAATTGGAGGCAAATTGGGCAGAGAAGTATGTAACAGCATATTTATGCACAACTGCATAACAAAGACATTCACAAAAAAAAAAAAATTCTCAGATTGCCCTTGCTTGTGGACTGCCTTGATTTTTGATTGCTCAGATCTATAAAACATTTTAACAAGTTCCAATCTTCACTGAAATCAGTAGGAATGCCCAGCACTTGATGCACTAGAAAAACGAAGCAACATCGGAAGAAGTCTAGCAATATTAAGATAAGTTTTCATTCCTTTTCATTCATCTCAGGAGGTCACTGATAAATACTCCTGTATAGAAAAGGCTGCAGTAGCTACGTATAGATTCTTCCAAGAATCATTGATAGTCAAATAATTTTTCTCAACATGCCAAATTACAATGAATTACAATTTTGCAGCTAGTTTTATTCTCATTGATTTTAGCCATGAAACTGCAACAAACAGAGGCTGTCTTTCAGATGAACAGCTACTTTGTCAAATAAGTAACTATTAAAATTGTATCCATTATTGGCCTCAGATCAACTTCATGGACTCAGCTCAGTCTTCAAAGGCTGTAATTGGTGTGATTTATTTACACAACTAATTACAAGAATTTCTTCTCCCTGAAGATCTGGCCAAGAAGTCTGTATCATGATTTTAGCTGATGAAGCAGATGAAATATTAGAGTAAGAAGATCCTATTTCTTTTTAGATAGCTCTTAAGTAAACAATGAAGATGAAGACAATGCCTGACAATATCTGGAACAGAATAGAAGTTCCCCAGATGGAATGATTATCATGAGATGTCAACAACACTGAAGAATCAACAAACATAGAGCTGCTGACAAAGTGGGCAAAACCCAACAAGGTATCCTTCCACCAGGCCTGTGCAATTCCCAGTTACAGAGATACACAGGAATACCTGTAGGGTATCTCTTCTTGTCCTCTAATTGCATGTGCCAACAATGCTTAGCTGTACAGCCATGACAGAAAATTCACTTTCTAACATCCTCCCTAGCCATATCCTTATGCCTTCTTTGGTGGTAGAGACATTAGACGTCTGGAGAGGCAGAAGCCACTCTTAGCAGGAGATGGATCAGGAGCTATGGCAGAAGCTGCACCTTGGATGATGCAGTGGAGGTGAGATCTTCATCCACTGACTGTGGGTGTCTGTGACATGTTTCTTGTACCCTGTGCTCACTGACTGTGCAGATTAGTTTTCCACCTGCTGTAAAGAGTGCATAGCAATTGAAATTGACATCAAATGGATGCTATTTCATGGACACTTGGATTGAGATTCTGCATAGGATATCTGGATAGGCTGTGTTTCACTAGCTGTATAGAAACTGCATTCGCACTGTGGTGGTGAGATCTCAGATTCATTTCCGCCCTGTGCCCAGTGGACTGTATTGTTTTCCTGCTCTCTCTATAAAGTTTCCAATTTGCACAGGAATTGTTTGGCTGAGGCCTAAGGTGTAATCTTTTACATCTGCTGCTCAGGGACAGGACAAAATAATGGTATTTATTTATTCATACATTGAAGTTAAATATGACTGTCATACATGGATTTGCAGCTGTCCATTTCAAAAAGAAATTGTAAGCTAGACACACATCTTCCTGCACTGTGGAGCTCCCAGGGAACAGAAAAGTGTTGCTCTGCAGATCTGAGAAGCTTAAAGCACTTCACCAACAATAGTGAATTGAGCCTCATAACCTGTATTTATGTAACTACAACTCCAAATAAACACACGGGCAAACCGAAGAACATTTGTATTATGGAACTTAACACTACATACACTATATAACTCAGTAAAAGAATGGAAACCTGAGCTTCTCTGCAATGAACAACTTTTTTTTTTTTCGTTTTTTCTTTTTGGAACAGAGAGAAACCTTGGTCCCATAAGAAAGAAATAGACTTAGAAAATTTTTTCTACAAAATAGGATTGTAATCATGTTTCCAGCAATTTTATAATCACTAGTGGTAATTGAGGAATTTATGCAGCAATTACATATCCAAAACTGATGTTAGTTGGTGGCTTTCATCATTTTTAATTCTACCCCTGATTTCAATTTAGCATTGTGTTTCATAGGTAGTTATATAATAGATGACATGAGAAACATTTAGTTTACAACACTATTTCAGTAAGGTCATTTGCTTTGACAGCTTTTTCCCTGCTTGAATATTACATGCTTTTGGCTAGATAGGAGAGAGATTGAGTTACTTATATTGTATAATGGATTCAGATTTTTTATTTCCACAAAAGGACAGTGCTCCTGAAACTAATTTGACTTTGCTGCTCTGTTTACAAAGTGTAGCAAGGACCATATCTTGGCTGTTACCAATCCACCATTGTTGGTTGTATTGAAGAATATCAGATAGATATGTATCACAGAAGAAATCAGCTGTACCATTTATATAGGGTAAAGTCATGCAAACCATGCTCAAAACTAAGCTCCTTAGTTTTGGTAGCATGAAAAAAACTGCATTAGTAAATTGTATGAAATGGTGCAGAATGACTACCACTAATATCACATGCATCTTATGCAGCCATTGGTGTTTTGAACTAGTAAGCTTTGGGTGCAGAGTAAGTGAGATATACAAAGTATGCTTACATTACACGGAGAAGTCAGCCAGTGACTACCCCCCACGCACTTCTAAACTGGCTTATTTGAAGGGGTCCATATTGAATCTGAAATTCCATCCCCTGTTGAAGACAAAGGCATGGAGCCACTTGGTGTAAAAGGGTCGGTGTCTGTGTCTGTTTCCCCCTCTGCTAGGTAGCGTTTCTCTCTCATCCACGCAGATCCCCCATTGGGGCCAAA